ATTTACCCAGAATGCTTTGTGTGTAAATAAAATGGCTCCATCCATGTTAAAATATATTTTTTAAATTTTACAAAACCAAACAGCTACAGTATTTTTACAGTCTTTGTTTTACATTTAAAATAAATGTTTATCAAATAAAGTCTAATGTTACAACTAATCAGGGATCCCTTTAAAATCTATGTCCACCTAATGATGGTTGAATCTTGCTTTACTAAGCTGCCAATCTGTTTCTTCATAAACAAACAATATGGCTCTCCTTGTCTTTTTCCCTTTTGGTCTTTTATCCCTCCTCGTTTACCTTCCTCAGTCTAATATGGCTGACGTTCTGTCTCCATCTCTTTAGGTGCTGCCAGCAGCAGTGGCCCTCCTCAAGGTTAGTGCGTCCATGATGCCAGGTCTCATTCTGTATACTGCCTGCTGTCCAGTCAATTTTACAGCTCAGTAGCTTGAGAAGCAGAGGGGCTAAATCTGCTGCAAGAAGGAGAAAGAGAAAAGTGGGTAGCAGGAAGGGGGGAAAAAAAACAAAATTATTGTGCACCCTGTCACTGACTGAAGTGGGTCTCATTCCAGCAACACTAACAACTCCAGACAATTAGTCACTTCTCACTAGGCTAGACCTGGGACTTCCTCGAGATCCAAAAAGAGTCAGGCTGTGTCGAACCCTCTGACCCATCAGAATACTGCAGCTATTAAAGCAGCTCATTGGAGAGAGGAGAAACTCAACAAAACAAAAGAATTGTGCTTGAGCACTTCAGTTTCTTAGAGTGTTTTATATATCACTGACATACAGTTATTATTATTACGCATTTCATTGTTTTAAATATAAAAATAATTGACACAAGTCTGTACAAAATACTGGACAGTACACCTTTTATATGCTTACTGCATCATTAGAAATATTCATTTGTGTATTTTGCTTGTTTAAAATCAACAAAGCGATGCCACTAGCTTTTTTTACGTTCCACCTAAGAATGTTTTCTGCCAGCGATGAGCGCCGTGGTTTTCAGCTACCACATGCTCAGGAACAAAGACGAGGCATGACTAAGATGGGCGGTGCGTGGAGGATCAGGGAGAAAAGTTTGTCCTGGGTCTTCTGCAGAGACTCGAGCATGACCAATTGGGGTGAAGGGGATGAATAAGAGCATTCATCTGGCCTAATGAAAGAGCTCCTGCTGGGGCTTGAATGAGGGTGGGCCCATCTGCACCACAGAGGCGTGTACAAACCAGTGACCTCGAAAATTACCCAGGAAGCACTTCAGGACAGTTGTCCCAGCAACAAGATGGGGTTTGCATGGTAACCGGCCGTTTCAATCAGTGCCTGGCAGCATCTCACACTGAACGAAATTCTGCTTTTGCGTTGAAAGGAGTTTGTGTGAAATCAGATTCATGGGATGTAGCTTTGTTTTTTTCTTAAAGAGGGGAGCTGCCAGSGTTGTCCTGTGTAAAAACATCCAGCAGTTTTCACCATTTCTGAGAGACAAACAGTGCTGCCTTCAGGACTTTTTCTTCTTGAGAAAATATTTGTGTTATTTTAAAAGAAGTTTAACTGTGTTGCTTTGCATACAGTTAAAGGGCCTATATTATGTGTTTCTCAGGCATATATTTAAATACTATACCATAATAAAG